CTCTTAAAGCCTGCTGGCTGGGGGATTCTGGGAGTGGAAGGCCACCCCTCTTAAAGCCTGCTGGCTGGGGGATTCTGGGAGTGGAAGTCCACCCCTCTTAAAGCCTGCTGGCTGGGGGATTCTGGGAGTGGAAGCCCTCCCCTCTTAAAGTATTCTGGCTGGGGAATTCTGGGAGTGGAAGTCCACAAATCTTAAAGTTCCCCAGGTTGGACACCTCTGTTCTATGCAGTTTCAAACTCATCTTTCGCAGCTGCCGTCTTCTTTCCCTCCTGCCCAAATTCAGGGCTCCGTAGATCTCCCACACACCCCCTTCCTTGTCTGGGACACACAAACACACTTCACAGCCAGCCCGTCCTGCAAACAGCTACAGCGAGAAGACAGCTGTTTGCAATAGCTGTCCTCTTTCAGCACCAAACTGAACACCCTTCAACCCTGTCTTGCCACACAGATTTGGAACGGCGCATGTCCCCGGTCCTGAGTGAGGAACCCCGGTGGATTTCCCTTGCAAGCGCCATTAATTCTCCACCATCCCCCCTTTTCAGTCGCTTGCAGTTCCTCATTTCACACTGGGTTAAACCCACCAGAGGGAGGGCAGCGCGTAAAGCTTCCAGTCCTCAATTCCAAAATTCCCCACGGTGCGTTTCTCGGGCCAGATGGGCCACGCACCAAACCGCAGCTTCTAAAGCTGTGTCCTCGGCAGGAGGCTCCGGGTTCAAACGAGGACAGGGAAAATTCTGCAGAGCCCCTCCCCACCCCCAAATTGGGGGTGGGGGGTTGGATCTCTCCACCCTAGTGCCCCCTCCCCCGAACCCCCTTCTCATCTCTCCTGGCCAGCAGTTATGCAGGATGCCACGATGGGGCAGAATTATTATTATTATTTTTAAAAGAAGCATCGGATGGAATCTGAAGACCCCCCCGTCCCCAAAAGGCAGGTTCCTTTCTTGCAAAGATAAAAGATTTTGATCAAAACGCCCTGAAATTATTGAAAGGGGGAAGGGTCTGCATCAATTTAGGACTTGCCCCTTTTAATGCAAAATAAAATAAAAGTTCTGCATTCCTGCAAATGCAAAATAACGAGGCTAAAAAGGAATTTCTTCCCCGCTTCCTTCCTCGGCCTTTGCAAACATTCTTTTGCCATTTTTTTTTTTTATTTCCCCAAAAAGCGTTCTTGCTTTTAATTTGGTTTACGGCTCTGTTTTTTGTCAGGCCGGTCAAAGCGTGTTAGATTTTATCCTGGCCGTTTCTGGATATACTTTTTCCCGGCCCGTTTTTTTTTCCAATGAAATTAAGTCCTCCGACTTACGACCGTTCATTTAGTGACGAGGGCACCGAGAAAAGTGACTTTTGACCACGTTTCACACTTTTGCAGCATCCCTGGGGGGGTCGCGTGATCCAAAGTTGGCTGCTTGGCAACTGACTCATACTTATGACAGTTGCAGCCTCCCAGGGTCACAAGTCAATGGGGAAGCCAGATTCACTTAACAACCGTATTAAGAAAGGACAGTGTTTCTCAACCTTGGCAANCACGGCTGGCTCCTATTTCAATGCTTGTCCACTAGGACTCCAAGATCCCTCGCACAGTTACTACTATTGAGTACCCTATAATGTGCAGGACGGATGAGGGAACGAATAACATCTTTGGTTGGGGAGGGGGCCCGGAGGGTGAGTTACTAGGATGGACCCTGCCTAGAAAATTTGGTCCTGGGGGGGGGGTCTGCAGGGCACCCCAAGGATACGGGACATCCTTTTCAGCAAGGATGTGAATCAAAAAGCAGCTCTCTTCTGTCTAAAAGAAAATTTAAAAGCCCAGCAAACTCTCACACGGCGCAGGGCACAGTTCTTATTCACAGCTAGTCCTCAACTTACAACACTTCATTTAGCGACTGTTCAAAGTTTCCACGGCACCAAAACAACCGTTTTCCACGCTTAACGACCGTTGGCAGCATCCCCCACGGCCACAAGATCAACATTCAAATGCTTGGCGACGGACTCATGACGACTCCAGCATTCCCGGGGTCACACAATCCCCTTTTGTGACCTCCCGACGAGCCAAGCTGCAGCGAGGAAGCCAGATTTCGCTCAACAACCAACTGCGAAGGGGGTTCACTTAACAACCGCCGCAAGAAAGGTGCTTCAACGGGAGGGAAAACTCACTTAACGTCTCGCTTAGCAGCAGAAACGTTGGCCTCGCTCAGTTGAGTCCGTAAGCCGAGGACTAGCTGTGTTTGCCTACTAATAAAATTTATATGGACGCCCGGTTCGCACACGGGTGATTCCACACAGCTTAACGAAATTAATAAAAATAAGAAGACAGTAAGACGTTGCCCAAATTCTTATCCCCTTTCTTTCCTTTGAACCGAACAATTGGATGTGCAGTTCAACACATCACCCGCAATGGACTCCCCCAAATTCCAGTTCCTTCGCTGATCTGTTGTTTCTGATCCTGTTTTAATCGGGGTGGCAAATTGTTGGGGTTTTGGGGGGGGGCGTGTATTTTGTTTTGCTGCATTTTAGGGGAAAGCTGTTGTTGTTTTTTTTAGTTGTCTCTTTACACGGCCCGAAGAGAGAGAGAGAAGACAGACAAATTCTTAAAAGGGTGAAAAAGCTCTCCCCCCCACCCCCTGTAGCCTCCCCCGTTCAGCCGTGCTAGATAAGATGATGTCCGTTTTTGTGCACCGCGGCAAGATTTAATCGCCGATATTGGGGGGGCTTCGGCTGGAAGAACCGTAGGGGCCGGAAACCATCATTTTGATGGCAGCTGAGTTGAGGTTCAGCAAAAGCCCCCCCCCCCTTTTTCTCTCCATCCTCCTAAGTCAGCTGAATATTCAGTTTCTCCCCATAAATCCTGCTTTGTATCATTGGGATGAAAGCCAAGTTAGCCCCCGCAAAAAAAACACTAAAGAATTATCGGACCTGTAGAGGTTTCCTTTCTTGCACACAAACACACACGTTCGTGACACACACACACACACACCACATCCAGCATGTCTAAGGCTAGCAAGGAAAGCCACCACCTCTTCATTCTGCTGCCATTAAGAGTACCTTCCAGGATGAGCTCGGGGGGTGGTGGTAAGGATGGGTGCTCAGCTGCGCCGTGCACAGCCACAAAGCCGATGGATAAGAACGGCAGGGCGAAGCACACATTCGCCCCCCCCCCCTCAAAAAACATTTTAAAAAATGACCCAGGATAGAAACCAGGGTTGGTCTGGGCCTCCTTGAGATCATCATTTGACACTTTTGCAATTTGTCTTGAGGGAGGAAGAGAGAGCGCTGAGGTCAGGCTGTGGATCCACCAGCCAAGACAACTGAGCGAAAGGGGCAGGAGAAAAGAGGAGAGAAGAAGGGAAAGGAAGGAAGGAGAAGAAAGAAGGAGGAGAAGGAAAAGGGACAAAGGAGAATAGATCTGAGAGAAGGAGAAGGGTAGAGAGAGAGGAAGGAAAGAAGAGGGAAAAGGGAAGAAGGAGAACAGAACAGGGAAAAGGAGAAGAGAAGGAAGAAGAAATAAGAGGAGAAGGAGAAGGGTAAAGAAGGAAAAGAGAAGGGGAGAAGAAGGAAACAGAAGAAAAGAAGAGGGAGAAAGGAACAGAACAGGGAAAAGGAGAAGAGAAGGAAGAAGTTGAAAGAAGAGAAGAAGGAAAAGGAGAAGAGAAGGAGAAGGGTAGAGAAGGAAAAGAAGAGGGGGAAGGGAAGGAGAACAGAATAGGGAAAAGGAGAAAAGAAGGAAGAAGATGAAAGAATAGAGGAAGGAGAAGGGAAGAGGGAGAAGGAAGCAGAAGAAGGAAAAGAGGGAGACGAATAAAGGGGAAGGTGAAGAAGAGAAGAAAAAAGGGAAGAAGAGAAGAGGAAGAAGGAAAAAGGAGAACGGAAGAGGGAGAAGGAAAAGGAGAAAAGAAGGGAAGAGAAGAAAGGAAAGAAGGAAGAAGCAAAATCAAAGCTGAAGTACCATTCATGCAACAGGCAAGGACAGAACAAAGAGAAGAAGCTGCCTTGATGAAGACCACAAGGGAGGAATCAGGAGATGCTTGGCTGTTCGAGCACTCTGTGCAACCCAGAAGATGACAACTTTCTGGGGAAAGGCCCGGGAGATCCACTCAAGGCCGGGGCCCCGATCTCTTGTCCGTGGCTCGCTTCCTTTCTGCGGCCCAAAGGGACGGGGCGTCCGAAACAGCTCCGGCCAATGTCAAGGGGGCCCTTGTGCAGACAAAAAGAGCCGGACTCCTCGGAGGGAGGGAGGGAGGAGCTGGGAAAAGACTTGTACAAAACAATTCGGGGAGGGGGAGGTGTTGGAGGGGGTGGGCTGCAGCAGGCAGGATGCTCCCCCCCCCCAAAGAGCCCAAAGCCCTCCTTGGGTAAGGGTGTGTGTGGTCAGTGTCCAGAAGCTGCCTCTGCCCGGGGGGACCCTTCCGCTTCGAGAAACGGAGACGGCGATATAACGGCTGCGGAACTGCCCGCCACTACACATCCGTGGATAAGAAGAGCGCGTTATGTTTCAGCTCGGCGAAGGAGACGGGCGGGTGTTGCAAATAGTACAGCAGCACTTGGANCCGGAAGTCCAGTTCCCCCACCATAGAGTCTCCTCCTAGGGCGGCATCCTTTTTCCTCTCCTGACCGGAAGTCCGGTTCCCCCACCATAGAGTCTCCTCCTAGTGCGGCATCCTTGTTCCTCTGCTGGCCGGAGGTCCGGGTGCCCCACCATAGAGTCTCCTCCTAGTGCGGCATCCTTTTTCCTCTCCTGACCGGAAGTCCGGTTCCCCAAACATAGAGTCTCTTCCTAGCGCGGCGTCCTTTTTCCTTTACTTGTCCTAACCGAAAGCCCTATCAATGGTGAAGCCGACCGGGGACAGGGAGCCGCAACACGGACGATGAAAGAGCCACATGCGGCTCCAGAGCCACAGGTTGCTGACCCCTGATTTAGACTTCAGAGTCTTGAGATGCAAATTGTGACCCCTTCCAGCCCCCACCCCCACCCAAAAAAAATATAAGTGCAGGGACATCCTTACCGATGCCTTGCATAAACGTTGGATAGAGTCGGTCCGTCAGGAGGGGCTCTGGCAGTTCGCGGAAGTACAGCTTCAGGGTCCCCGCGATGGCGTTGATATCCATGTCGCTCAGCATCACCAGGATGTCTTTGCTGTCTAGGGTTCAAATCCAGACTCGGTTTGGAGCAGTTGCCTCTCAAGGCTGGCAGCTTCAACTCCCAGAATTCCCCATGCTTTAAGAGGGGGTGTATTTTAACTCCCAGAATCCCCCAGCCAGACACCCAGCATCTAAAAAAAGCTGGCTGAGGATTTCTGGAAGTTGAAGTCTATGCATCTTAAAATACCCAATGTTGAAAAACACTGGTTTAGGACCTCCATATGCAGAAGCAGGCTACCTGAAAATTTCAACTGCAAACAATATGCGAGCTTGCAGAGCTATTGGCCCAATTTGAAACCACCCACAGGGAGGGGGTCAATGTTTGAACATGAGCTTGCCTTGCGTCATCATTTCCACACTTGTAGTTAGGTAGGTAGGTAAGTAGGTAGGAAGGAGAGATAGTGAGAAGAAAGGAATATGAGAAAGTGGGAAGGAAGGAGTGATAGTGAGAAGGAAGTAATGTAAAAGTGGGAAGGAAGGAAGGAAGGAAGGAAGGAAGGAAGGAAGGAAGGAAGGAAGGAAGGAAGTAGAGATAGTGAGAAGGAAGGAATATGAGAAAGTGAGAAGGAAGGAAAGAAGGAAGGAGAGATAGGAAGAAATGTAAGAAAGTGGGAAGGAAGGAAAGAAGGAAGGAAGGAAGGAGAGATAGTGAGAAGGAAGGAACATAGGAAAGTGGGAAGGAAGGAAAGAAGGAAGGAGAGATAGAAGGAAGAAATGTAACAAAGTGGGAAGGAAGGAAGGAGAGATAGTGGGAAGGAAGGAAAGAATGTGAGAAGGAAGGAATATGAGAAAGTGGGAAGGAAGGAAGGAAGGAAGGAAGGAAGGAAGGAAGGAAGGAAGGAAGGAGAGATAGGAAGAAATATAAGAAAGTGGGAAGGAAGGAAGGAAGGAAGGAGAGATAGTGAGAAGAAAGGAATATGAGAAAGTGGGAAGGGAGGAGAGATAGTGAGAAGGAAGAAATGTAAAAGTCGGAAGGAAGGAAGGAAGGAAGGAAGGAAGGAAGGAAGGAAGGAAGGAGAGATAGTGAGGAAGGAATATGAGAAAGTGGGAAGGAAGGAAAGAAGGAAGGAAGGAAAGAAAGAAAGAAAGAAGGAGAGATAGGAAGAAATGTAAGAAAGTGGGAAGGAAGGAGAGATAGTGGGAAGGAAGGAAGGAATGTGAGAAGGAAGGAATATGAGAAAGTGGGAAGGAAGGAAGGAAGGAAAGAAAGAAGGAAGGAGAGATAGGAAGAAATGTAAGAAAGTGGGAAGGGAGGAAGGAAGGAAGGAGAGATAGTGAGAAGAAAAGAATATGAGAAAGTGGGAAGGGAGGAGAGATAGTGAGAAGGAAGAAATGTAAAAGTGGGAAGGAAGGAAGGAAGGAAGGAAGGAAGGAAGGAAGGAAGGAGAGATAGTGAGAAGGAATATGAGAAAGTGGGAAGGAAGGAAAGAAGGAAGGAGAGATAGAAGGAAGAAATGTAAGAAAGTGGGAAGGAAGGAAGGAATGTGAGAAGGAAGGAATATGAGAAAATGGGAGGGAGGGAGGGAGGGAAGGAAGGAAGGGAAATGAAACTCACTGGAATCAAAGGCCGCTTTCAAGGCCTGGATGTCGGTAGCCACCCCTGAGATCCGGTAGATGCCGACTTCGTCAATGCCCCGTTTCTCCACCTCCTCCACACACTGGCGCACAACGTAGGGGATCTTGGATCGCTCACGCCTACGGGGAACAAAGAGAGCACGGCGGATCAGAGCCCCAGGGATTCTGCTCAAGGAACCTTGAGCTATGCGGACTTCAACTCCCAGAATTCCCCAACTTTCTTTATTTCTAGAAATAATTCATGGCGGGAGACCTCCTCCTTCCTACAACAACAACAACAACAACAACCCTGTGAGGTGGGTTGGGCCGAGAGAGGGATTGGCCCAGAGTCATCCATTTCATGCCTAAGGCGGGACTAAAACTCAATGTCTCCTGGTGATTGGCCCAAAGTCCCCTCCGTTAGCTTTCCTGCCCAATGAAAGCCTCCTAGTTTGTAGCCTGGTGCCTGAACCACCAGATCCAACGGGGGTCTTCATGTGTATTCCCCAAATGAATTGTTGCTCTGCGCATCACCCCACATACACACTCACCCACCCCTTTGTCTTACTCAGCGTTTAAGCCTCCGGCCCAACCTACTTAGTGACGACGCTGATTTTGACTCCAAAGACCCCGGTCTGCTTCTTGGAGGGGGTCCTCTTGAGGCTCATATCCCGGCTGGTGAATTTCATGGAGAATTCTACTTTCACCTGAAAAACAAAACAGAAAGCAGACCCATCAGGAAATCACAGATCGCAAAATAACAGAATAATTAGAATAATAGAATAACGGAGTTGGGAGGGACCTTGGAGGTCTTCTAGTCCAACCCCCTGCTTAGGCAGGAAACCCTACACCACTTCAGACAAATGGCTCTCCAACATTTTCTTAAAGGCTTCCAGTGTTGGGGCATTCACAACTTTTGGAGGCATGGAGTTCCACTGATTCATTGTTCTAATTGTCAGGAAATTTCTCCTTAATTCCAAGTTGCTTCTCTCCTTGATTAGTTTCCACCCATTGCTTCGTTTCCTACCTTGAGGTGCCTTGGAGAATAGCTTGACTCCCTCTTCTTTGTGGCAACCCCTGAGATATTGGAAGATGCTATCCTGTCTCCCCTAGTCCTTCTTTTCATTAAACTAGACATACCCAGTTCCTGCAACCGTTCTTCCTATGTTTCAGCCTCCAGAATCCTAATCCTCTTTGTTGCTCTTCTCTGCACCCTTTCCAGAGTCTCTGCATCTTTTCTACATCGTGGCAACCAAAACCGAATGCCGTATTCCAAGTGTGGCCTTACCAAGGCCTTGTAAAGTGGCATTAACCCTTCACGTGATCTTGATTCTCTCCCTCTGTTGATGCAGCCTAGAACTGTGTTGGCTTTTTTGGCAGCTGCTGCCCACGGCTGGCTCCTATTTAAATGGTCGTCCACTAGGACTCCAAGATCCCTTTCACAGTTACTACTGTTGAGGAAGGTACCACCTATGCTGTACCTGTGCATTTTATTTTTCTTGCCTAAATGTAGACCCTGACTCTTTTCACCATTGAGTTCCATTTTATTAGATAGTGCCCAATGTTCAAGTTTGTCAAGATCCTTCTGTATCTTTAACCTATCTTCTGGAGTGTTGGCTATTCCTGACAGCTTTGGTGTTGTCTGGAATGGGGAGGCTCTCCAGGAAGGGATGGGAAACCAGCCCCTCATCTTACTGACTTACCCCGTTCATCTCGATCACATCCACCTGCCAATTCTTGGTCTGCACCGTCTGAGGATCCAGCTGCAGAGAAGGAAAGTAAGAAAACAGGAGAAAAATTAGACCCCTCCGTTGCTTGCTCTCGTTTCTAAACCCCTTTGCAAATAAAAGACACACCCAAAAATTGCCAGGAGAGGGAGCATAAAAACTTTAAAATGGCTTTTGGAAAAAAAAAATCAACACCCTAACTAAAATTTCTGCAGAAGTCCATAATTTACCTGGGGTGTAAATAAAGTGGGTGACCAGAATTTCACAAAGTGGATTCCATATAGCATCGACCTTGTGAATTCTCAAGTTTTCTCTCCCTCTACGGATTCAAAATGGACAGTGATTTAATATATATATGAAAATGGATTTGTGTATGTGTGTCTATGTATGTATGCATGCATGTGGTGTGTGTGTGTTAACAATATGTGTTTGGGGAGATATACAGGTCACAGAATTTCATTTTTAATATGGGCCAGTGTGCTTGCAGGAAAAATAATGACAATAAAGTTATCTTACCTTATCCTATCCTATCATCTTATATCCTATTGTGGCCCGCCAGCAGCCAGTGAATCTGGCGGCAGATTCGGACAGTGAGGAGGGTTGGGGAGGAACCTGGGCCAGTCCTGGAGTCTGGGGAAGGCTCGGATGAGGGCTCTGGGTCGGAGGCAGAGNGCGAAGTCCAAATGGACCCATGACTAGGGGCCTCTAGGAAGCTCCCAGTCCCTAACGGGAACTGCTGGAGGTTCGGGATGAGACTGTTGGTAGGGAGTGCAGCGGCCGACCCAAGTAGCTATCTCTTCATTCATTTTGGGTCACCAGACATAGCTGCAAGCCAAAGCTTTCATGCGAGCTATGCCTGGGTGGACCCTGATGGAGGTGGTCTAGCACCTGGTGGTGCAAGGAGGGAGGAATAATTACCCTGTCTCCCTGTGGAGGGACAGCTCCAGCTGGAGGGTCTTGAAAGGACGGAAATGGTCGGCAACCTTGCCCAAAGGCCACCCCCTCTGTACCCACGTGAACACCTGAGATAGTACAGGGTCAGCGAGGGAGTGGGCTGCCACATCTGACGAAGACAGGGGTAGGTCCAAACAGCAAAGGACAGGAGGATAGAGGAAGATGGTGCAGGGACAGGATAGAGGAAGATGGTGCAGGGTTGGTGACAGGGAGTGGGCAGCAGCTGGGGTATTGGCATGCCCCATGTGCTTGCCTGGACAATATTGCAGCGTATATGCAGCGAGACACGTGGGGAGAGAGAATGCGCGGGGTAGGACGGTCACCAGCCAGAAGCCCAAGGAGAGGTATGTGGTTGCTGAACAAGGTGAAATGTCATCTGTAAAGATAGTCATGGAACTTTTTAATCCCGGCACAGCAGTTGGAGCCTCCTTTTCGATCTGGCTGTAGTTCCTCTCGGTGGAGGAGTGTGTCTGGGAATAAAAAGCTATGGGGGCTTCGGAGCCATTTGGAAGGAAATGGCTCAGAATGGCCCCAACACCTAAAGGGGAGGTATCACATGCTAATGTCAGCGGTAGCTTGTCACTATATTGGATTAAGAAAGCAGCTGATGTAAGCATGACTTTGACAGCTGCGAACGCATGCTCTTCGCAGCTGCCCCAGCACCAGCCGCTGATTGGTTGAGCAACTGATAAAGCGGCTTGGCCAGTGATGCCTTGTGAGGCAAAAATGGCATGTAGAAGTTCAAGAGGCTGG